TGTCTTAGAATAAGACTCTATACCATAAGGTATAATAGCTAAATTCTTGGAAGTTCTTTCTTCTGAGTTGCTTTTGGGTGAATTTGCCCCTCAAACCATTTGGATGGTAATTGAGAGCCTACTATCCATTAATAAATATTCATTATTAATGGAATGCCAGCCCCCAAGATATAAAGCCCAATTTCCCAAAACGTAAATTGCAAGGAAAGAAGGAGGTTATACAAGCTGAATGACCTGAATTAAAAGCAAAAGTGGAAGAATCTGGAAATGTATTCTTTCATTCTCTCCCGTAGGTCACTAGTCTCCTTCACAGGAAAATTGGCTCTGTTCCCAACACATGAGTGAAATGGTTAGGGTGCAGAAGAGGCTCATCTCATTGCCCTGGTAGAAGTAATCGACTGATGATAAAGCCTGGGTAGACAATATCCACTTTTGGTCCAGTGTGAAGATATTTACTATCCTTTAGCTATAGTTATCCAAACATTTGTGGACAGTAATTTCTTCTGAAATTCTGCATGTGAGATTATTCTGATTATCATAAATGACCCTTCTGTTCACATCTTTCAAATAATGATGCCCTGTCTACTATAAACATTGATAGTTTATTTTACTAATCTCATAAATCAGACATAATTAATTTTTGTTCTGTTTTTTACTAGTGGTCTTACTTGGAATGATCAACTTGCTATAGTTGTTTATGTTGTGTCTGGCTAACATTGTCATTGATTAATATTTGAAGATGGAAAGTCAGTGAAATTTAATTAGAGCTTAAATTTAATTGGCAATAAAGAGAGTGGAAATCTTAACTATGAAACATTCTGCCTGTGGTCTTTTAATTTTAATTTTCCAAATGCCAATATCTTCATTGATTAAATAGATATAATGACGGTTGCAAGCTTATAGTGATGGTTTGAAGATTAGTAAGCCATTATGCCAATCTGAATCCACAGTAAGCACTCAATGAAAAATAATTAATATTATTATTTAGTGCCTCGAACTCATAAATCCAATGTATAGCTTTTAAAATAATAAGACAGTTTTTAATACCTACTCCAAGAAAAAATTCCCAACATATATATAAATAAATTATCAACATGTAATTGCTATGTATATATATGTATAAAAAGATTCCTGACATATAATTGAGTAAATATCATAATATAAGAATAAGAGGACTAATTATAAACAATGGAAGATAAGTCATTTCTGATGACAATAAGGATGCTTTTGTAAATCATGCTTTACAATAATTATCACATTACTCTCTTTGACTACAGTAATTTAGAAAATATAACACATGTTATCAAGAATCACTGGGTTAATGGTGAAGACTCATATATGTCCAATCAACATTCCAGTGTGGAGATAATGAGTAAATTACTAGAAGGAACATTGGTTTGATGTCATAAAAACATATTTAATTTAATCCTGCAAATGATCATGGGAAGACTAATAATAATGCATACAACAAAGCCACGGAAAATTAGGACTCCTCTAGAATTACAAAGGGAAAAGCAAGAGAGTCTAAAAAGTAAAGTCTAAGCAAAATACTACTGCATGACAATCAGAGATATGAAGTATAAAATGTATCTAGCAAGTAAGTGGTTGTGTTATAAAATTATATCATTTATGTATATGTAGAGAAGTACTGTGAGAGATGAGCTATAAGGAGATGGTTCTGTTCAGATTATTATACTCTAAGGAATTGTTTTATACCTCAGTAGGCAACAAGAGAGAAATTAGATAATGCTGTGAGAAAAGAAATTGCACGTGATGTGCCAAAAGTTTAGGCAGCACAGAGGGATCAAGGGAGATATTTTATTATCCTAATTGGATGAGATTTCATTTACAAACATTAATTGAATGAAGAAAAGCATTTATTTCATTAACTTCAGCATTAGAATTCATTTATAATCCAGAATAAAACGAAAACTATATAATTAATATATAAGTAAAATACATATTAAAATATAATTTATATTATGTAAGTATATATAAAGTTATTTAATAGCTAAAATTATAAAATTATATAATAAAGCTACCTTAAATATGTTCTTTTTTATTGGAGGCTCTTATCACAATCCATACATACATCCATTTTGTCAAGCACATTTGTACAAATGTTGCCATCATCATTTTCAAAACATTTTCTTTCTACTTGAGCCCTTGGTACCAGTTCCTCATTTTTTATCCTCTCTCCCCC